GCTGCTGTGAAGAGGGAGCGCCAACAGGCGCAGTACGGTCAGTCTCAGAGCCCCCAGCCTCAGCTCCTCTAGGCTCAGCACCCCCAGTCGCAGCACCCCCAGGCTCAGCACCCGCAGTCTCCGCACCCCCAGACTCAGCACCCGCAGTCTCCGCACCCCCAGGCTCAGCACCCCCAGTCTCAGTACCCCCAGACCCAGCACCACCAGGCTCAGCACGCTCAGCACCTCGCGCAGGACCAGAGTCAACAGCTACCTCGACAGGCTCGACCGGGTCTACCTGGGAAACACCTGAGGGAGCAGCACCATGGGGAGGGAGGGGGTCTACCGACGGGACACCTGGGGTGAGGAAGAGCGGCGGGGGGGGGAGCGGGGCAGTGCGGTAGGGGAAGAGACGGTAAAAGGGAACCGACTCGTCAAAGGTGACGTCCTGAGAGGCAAAGACACGGCGCGAGGTGGGGTGGTAAAACTGCCAGCCAGGCACGTCAGGGACAAAGCCAAGGAAGACACAGGGAACGGCACGAGAGGAGAGCTTTTCCGCGGACGTATCGCGGACAAAGGCTCGACATCCCCAGACTCGGAACACCGACGCATCGCCAACCTCCCCCGTCCAACGCAGGGTAGGCGAGGTCTCCGGAACAGAGACACGGGGCTAGAGGTTGAGCTGATGCGCGGCGTACTGCACCGCAAACGGCCATAGGAAATGGGGGGCAGCCGCATGGATCATGGAGGTACGGGCGACCTCCATGACGAGACCAATGCGGCGCTCAGCAACCCCATTCTGCTGCGGAGAGGCCGGGAGAGTGAACGTCTGGCGGATGCCGTGCTCCGCACAGTAGGCTGCCAAGAGGTCAGAGGAAAACTCACCACCTCTGTCAGAGTGCAGACGGAGGACAGGAAAGTCCGACTGGAACCGCTTGCGGAGCTGGAGACGAGCAGCGCGGATCCAGGGGATCAAGACATCAGGGACCTCACCCTTGGTACGCAAGGGGAAGACCGTGGTGTAGCGCATGTAGTCGTCGACGACCAGCAGAAAGTACCGCTCGTGGCCCTGTCCCTGGACGCGGGCGGGGCCCCACACGTCCAGGTGGAGAGTCTGCAGAGGAGCCTCTGTGGGAGGGAACGAGGAGGAGTGAGGAGCGGCGCGCTGCCGCCCCTCGACACAGGGAAGACAGGGAGGAGCAGGCGAGGGTGGGAGGGGAGGGAGAACCCTGGGAAGACCAGAGACAAGGTACCTGGAGTGCATGCCGCGAAGGCGCTGCACTGACGGGTGACCAAGGCGGTGGTGCCAGAGGACAGTCCTGAACGACAGGGAGCGACACGAGCAGGGGGCTGACAGCTGACCAGACGCAGACGCAGACGCAGACGCAGCTACCTGAGGGGACTCAGTGGTCAGTGTGTACAAGTCCGACCCCGGCTGCCGAGTGAAGGTAGCTAGGTGATGACCCGTCTGGGCACACGTGCAGTGCGTCACACGCTCGTAGGCAGGGGTGAACTGGTGAACACTCGCGTCCTGGAGCGCGGAACCGGCCACCAAGTTCGTAGAGAACAAGGGGAGGTAGAGGCCCGACATTGTGCCAGACGGGACAGCAGGACAAGGGAGGGCAGTGGTGGAGGTCGCAAGGACCGGACCCCCTGAGGGGTCAACCAGGGAGACAGCAACCGGTCTAGGAAGCTGCTCTAGGGCAGTGCGGTCGCGAAAGAAACAGCGGGAAGCACCTGAGTCCAGTGTGAAGGTGTGCAGTGCCTCAGTAGGTGCGGTACCAGCAGGCGCAAACGCACTAGCACCTAGGGCAGCAGCCTCACCAGGACCTAGAGCAGCAGACGCACTAGCACCTAGAGCTGCAGCCTCACTGGTCCCAATACCCGGGTCGGGCGGTACACTCAGGTAACAGTCACCCTCAACACTAATAGTCAATGCATACATAGCACCAAGGATAGCATCATAATCAAGAGCAAATATATCAATCCCCTTCTTAAGCAGATCAGCCCAGCGGGGCAGCTCAGAGGCGTCAGGAAACTGCTCGCGCCAGGCGTCGTCGAGGCGAAAGAAACAGCGCTGCGCCGTGTGAAACCTCCCACAGGTCTGGCCAGTGCGGTCACCTATGCGGATGACGTACGGGCAGGTACCTCCACCCCCAGACCCCCCACGCTGAGAGTACCACTCACGGAGCTGCTGGGGCGACGGGGTCTCGCTGGGACGCTGCTGCTGCTGCCTCTGGCCGCCGCCGAACCCGCCACGCTGCACCGCTCCACCGCGCCCTCCACCAGCTCCACCGCCGCCACCACTGCCACCACCACCCCCGCCACCTCCACCACCGCCGCCTCCACCACCCCCGGCCCCGCCACCGCCCCCCCCACCACCAGCACCACTCCCACCACCGCCGCCACCGCCGCCGCCCCCTCCACCCCCTCCGCCACTACCTCCCCCGCCGCCACCTCCACCACCCCGGCCCCCCTTGCCCCTGCCGCCCTTGCGCCGCCCACTGGGAGCGTACGCAGCTCCGACCCCCTCAGAACCTAGGAAGTCGACAGCAGCAGCAGATGCAATGGAGGGGAGAAGGGGGGAGGGGGAACATCCCTCAAAGAAGGGAGTGCGAGGGTCGCCACAAGAGGCACCTACAGCTACAATGCTCTTCTCAGCTGCTAGGAGTTCCTTCTCGAGCAGGTCGACAGTGAGGTCTGTGGGGGAGAGAGCGAGAAAGTGGTCTCTGACAGCGCGAAGAGAGTCAGGGAGGCGAGTGACCAGGTGGTAGAGGGTGAGGTACATCGGGGGGGGGTTCTTGGCTAGGAAATCGGGGGGGAGTGCGGCACGGTAGCGGAGATCACTAGTACGGAGGTGAGTGATGAGGTCAGCTACAGTGGCAAAGGCAGACAGATCGGGGAAGAGGTAGGGCAGCGAGAGACGGCCTATCGCAGCAGTGGCAGGGGAGGAGTAGCGGGCAACTACAGCATCATACAGCTCCTTAGCGGTCTTATGCTGGCCGAAGTGCTCGCGCTCATCTAACGGCAGGTGGCTGCGAACGGATAGGCGAGCATGGGCGTCACGAGTCTGCCACTGTGAGCGAGCAGTACTGTCAGCAGTAGCAGCAGGTGCGGGAGCAGCGCCGGACGTGTGGTCATAGAGGGAAACATCGTCCTTGGCAGTGATCTGGAGGTACATGTGAAGGTCATCGAGCCAGACATCGAACTTAATCGGACGGCCCTCAGCGTCAAAGGTGAGAACAGTAGGAGTGGCCATAGTGGCAGTAGCAGTGGTGATAGTAGCAGTAGTAGCAGTAGCAGTAGTAGCAGTAGAAGTAGCAGGAACAGGAGCAGTAGGTGCTGCAGGTGGGGCGGCGCGGCTCGGTCAGGGCGGCGCGATTCGGGCGGCGCGACTCGGGCGGCGCGGCTCGGGCAGGGCGGCGCGGCGCGGCTCGGACTAGGCTACACGGGACGGCGCGATGGCGGGCCTGTGCGCGGGCGGCTGTCGCGGGCTGTCCGTGGCTGTGCTTGGGCTGCAGTCGCGCGCGGGCGGCGGCTTACGAGGGCGACGCGGCCTACGGGTGGGGCTGCGGGCCGCTAGCGGGCTACGCGCGGCCAGGAGGGCCGGTCGACGGGCGGCTAGCGGGCTGCTCGTGGCGGCGTGGGCGGCTAACGGTCGGCGCGCGCGTAAAATACGGCCACGTGCGGGCTGCTAGCGGCGACGCGCGCTAAAAAAAAAAAGGCCGCGCGCGGCACTAGCGAGCTGCGCACGGGCAGCAGGAGAAGGAGAGGCGCACGAGGGCGCACTAGGAGAGCGGCGCTCGAGGGCGCTAAGTCGATAAGGCACTCGAGGGCGCTTCTAACGGTGGGCCCTTTGGTAAGTCCTAGGTCTAGAACCTAAGCTCTTAATACCATGTCAGAAACAAGAAGTGGTGAACTAGAAACAGTTGGGAGTACAAGTATGAAACCCTAGAGAAAAGTACCCCCTAAAGGCTAACCCACTGTAGCCTACACAACAGAAACATATATAATGTTTGACAATATGGACTCAGCAGCTTCAAGCGCAGGACCGAGGGATAATCTTACCCTACGATCCTATAAGCGAGACCATCTACGGTTACTCGGAGGAGCAACAACCACTAGTACTCGAGGTGATCTGCAACGGGCGACGCCTCCAGGCACTGGTGGACAGTGGTGCGTCCCACTCGGTGTGCGACCGCGGGACATTGGAGAAAATTGGAGAACCTTCGGAGGAGACCAAGTTCACGGCAACAATGGTGGACGGTACGAAACTTCCCATCCACGGCGAAGCATCACTGCAGCTGCACATTAGGGCGCTAAGGTGGAAGCCAATATTGCCGATCACGAATATCAACGGTTTAGATTTCATCTTGGGGCGAGATTTCCTGAAGCGGTTCAACCCCGAGATCGACTGGGTCAATAGGAAGGCCTGCATATACAACAACGGGAAACGAGTGGAGCTGCGAAGCTGGACGGATACAGGGAGTTCCTGATACGCTGGAAGGGATACGACCCCTCTGAGGACAGTAGGGTTGCAGAAGCTGATATGGGCAACGCACGCCATGCTCTCAATGACTATCTTGTCAAGCAGGGTGTATCTCACGCCACCCAGCTTTGAGGGGGGGATGTGTGAGAGTACGACGGCTTATGCTGGCTTTGCTAGCTTGCCTAGACTTTATTACGCTATATCTAGCTTGGGTTTATTTTATCATGCATAGATATGCTTGATTTCCTAGGCTAGGTGCTTTCCTATATTTTATTATAGTTATAGCACCGAGCAAGGTTGCGTGCACCGAATTCTGGGCTTTTCGGCTCCCACCGCAGCCATCGCGCACCAGCTATATTCCTCTCTCACCAGCCATATCCCTCTCTCGAGCCAAGCACCAACCAGTACGAGAAAATACACAAGGTCTACAGCAACTACCTCGTCGTCACCTACAGCGGCCTTAACGATGAATGCTACACCCTCACCTTCGTGGAAGCAAGCACGCGTTACGTCTGGGTGGCAAACTTGCAGAATGGCGGGGAGGGGCGGGGAGGGGCGGGGAGGGGCGGTGAGGGGCAGGGAGGAGCAGGAAGGGGCAGGGAGGGGCGGGGAGGGGCGGGGAGGGGCAAGGAGGGGTAGGGAGGGGCAGGGAGGGGCGGGGAGGGGCGGGGAGGGGCAGGGAGGGGCAGGGAGGGGCGGGGAGGGGCTGGGAGGGGCGGGGAGGGGCGGGGAGGGGCGGGGAGGGGCAGGGAGGGGCAGGGAGGGGCAGGGAGGGGCGGGGAGGGGCGGGGAGGGGCGGGGAGGGGCCGGGAGACTTCTGAGTCGACTCAGAAGTCACCTAAATCTGAATGATGTCCCCCATTATCTGCTCGAGAGGTGAGGGGCAGGAGCGATGGGGAGTGGCGGAGAAGGACAGCCTACCAAGTGATCTGCATCTGGTTGGCGCACGTGCAGCGTGAGTCTGGGAAGAAACTCCAAAGCTGGCAAACTAACGGTGCAGCTGAGTTTTGCAGCCAGGAATCGGAATCTTTTCTTGCCAAAGAGGGAATCCTGCACCACAATTCACTCCCCTATGCACAGCTACAGCAAGATGTCCCTGAACATACCAACCGCACGCTCATGGCGAAGGTGCGCGCAACCGCACGCTCATGACGAAGGTGCGCACACTGTTGAAGCAATCCGGACTTCCTGCTAAGTACTTGACCAACGCAATCCATCACGTCGTGGGACTGCACAGTTTCCTCTCCTTCACGGCAAATACGGGGAACCTCTCACCTCATGTAAACTATACGGGAAACTCTCTATTCTGAGCTCGATCCTAGATCCCCACACTTGGTAATCAGAGCCTGTTTGCACGCGAAGTTTTTCGACTGCTAAATCCTAGCTTTTAAAACCGCGGGGGCGACAACGGAAAGCGCCGATTTCGGGTACGTAAACCAGTTCCGCGCTATTTTCTAACGTCCCCCTCGAACTGGTTTTCGAACACTCCTCAGGTCCAGTGGCGAAACAGTTGGAATTTTGACCGTCAGATCGATTCGAATCTCAATGGCCCTGAGAATTTCGCCCAAAAAGGTTGGAATTGGGAGCGTCGGGTCGAATTTCTTCTCAATGGCCGACATCGAACGCGAATTTCAGCTACGGGAGAATTGCGCGACCAACAGAAACAGCGCTCGTTATTTCTACATTTGATTCGACTCGCAGTGAGTGGACGAGCGCCTAAAAATCAATTATTTTTGTCGCACATCTTCCTGTAAAATCGCCAAATGGAGGACAATGGTGATAATTCCGTACGAAAAATTACGGAGTTACACACCGGCCTGGACCAGACGCGAGCGGCACTCCAGCGAATAGAGGAGCTTCTTGCGAACGAGTCGGCAGCCGCCACAGTAGCAGCGAACGCAGCAGCGAATGCAACAGCGACGGCAGCAGCAGCAACGGCAACACCGACACTTCACCCAGCAGCAGTGGCAGCAGCTACAATGAATCTTGAGGCGGCACGTCCAAGGCTACCGGAAACGTTCAATCTGAATGCGAGAGGCACCGACGTCCGTCGATTCATTGCGACCCTCGAAATTTACTTCGAGGCCGTTGGCTGTACGACCCCGACACACGATGCAATGCGGATTCGGCTCGCAGCGACACTGTTACGAGGCCCGGCGCTCGAGTGGATTTACAATAGCAACGAGGTCCGAGGCAAGGGGTCATGGACGCAGTTTCGGGAAGCATTCATTCAACGTTTCGAGCCAATCAACTCCAGCTACATGGCGCGGCAGCAGATTCATCGGCATAAACAGTTTGGCAGTGTAACACAGTGCACGCAGCAGATGGAGAGCCTCTTCAACCGAATAACGGACCTGGCCGAAGGGGAAAAAATCCAAACGTATACTCAGGGGCTAAAGATGGAAGTCCGCCGACAGGTGATTGCCGCGAACTACAACAACTACCGCGACTTGGTGTGTGCAGCAGAGAGATTCGATGCGTTGACTCAAGGTCAACCCGAAACACGACGACGCGTGCCGAACAGGTCATTCGGCACGGAGCGATCGGCACCACCCACGACCGCCGACCCGATGGATATCGACAAGATCGACGCAAAGCAGCGGCCGACAAAATATGAGAACTGCGAATTTTGCGGCGCAGCAAGACATCGACTCTTGGCGTGTTGGAAATTGAAGAAGGTACGAGCGGAGCTGCACGGCAACAATAGTGCGGCACCCCCGAAGTCAAAAGACATGGCGAGTTCGGAGCGGGCGAAAAAAGGAGGACATGGTGGCGCGAATTTGAAACGCCACGACCGACCGGCAATAGGGGAAATCGCCGAGACAAATGGAGGCTCCGCGAAACCAGACTCTGCACCGACCGGGAAACTCCAGCCGAACACTCCCGAGAGTAAGAATATTTTCTCTCGAGGTTTTCAAGCCTTTGAAAAAATCAGGGGAGATTTCAAGGCCAAGAAAAAGCCTTCAGACATTATTCAGGCACCTAAGAAGTTGGGCAAACCACTCCGGAGCGTTGAAAAGGGTTGTGCGTTCCAGTGAGTTAATATTCTCTCCCCGCGGCATGGTGTTAAGGCTCCCTATTGCCCATAGGTGAAGCCTACACAGCGGCAAAGGCTTAGGGGAAGGTTCCAGGTCAAGACAAAGCTGAATTAGCCTCGGATAAATCCTTCAAACCCAACTCAGTTGAAAACTGATATGGACTCAGCAGTTTCGAGCGCAGGACCAGGGGATAATCTTACCCTACGATCCTATAAGCGAGACCATCCACGGTTACTCGGAGGAGCAACAACCACTAGTACTCGAGGTGATCTGCAACGGGCGACGCCTCCAGGCACTGGTGGACAGTGGTGCGTCCCACTCGGTGTGCGACCGCGGGAAATTGGAGAAAATTGGAGAACCTTCGGAGGAGACCAAGTTCACGGCAACAATGGTGGACGGTACGAAACTTCCCATCCACGGCGAAGCATCACTGCAGCTGCACATTGGGGCGCTAAGGTGGAAGCCGATGTTGCCGATCACGAATATCAACGGTTTAGATTTCATCTTGGGGCGAGATTTCCTGAAGCGGTTCAACCCCGAGATCGACTGGGTCAATAGGAAGGCCTGCATCTACAACAACGGGAAACGAGTGGAGCTGCGAAGCTGGACGGATACAGGGAGTTCCTGATACGCTGGAAGGGATACGACCCCACTAAGGACAGTTGGGTTGCAGAAGCTGATATGGGCAACGCACGCCATGCTCTCAATGACTATCTTGTCAAGCAGGGTGTATCTCACGCCACCCAGCTTTGAGGGGGGATGTGTGAGAGTACGACGGCTTATGCTGGCTTTGCTAGCTTGCCTAGACTTTATTACGCTATATCTAGCTTGGGTTTATTTTATCATGCATAGATATGCTTGATTTCCTAGGCTAGGTGCTTTCCTATATTTTATTATAGTTATAGCACCGAGCTAGGTTGCGTGCACCGAATTCTAAGCTTTTCGGCTCCCACCGAATTGCCTTCTACCGAATTCGGGAAGGATCTGTTCGGGACGCTTCGCGACCCTCGAAACCTTCGCGTAACACCTGGTTACTGGGCCTTGTGTCGAGCCTATATATAGCCTCGTGTTGTACCCAGGTGATCATTCAATTCAAACTCTCTTTTCTGAGCTCGATCCTAGATCCCCACAGCAGCCATCGCGCACCAGCTATATTCCTCTCTCACCAGCCATATCCCTCTCTCGAGCCAAGCACCAACCAGTACGAGAAAATACACAAGGTCTACAGCGACTACCTCGTCGTCACCTACAGCGGCCTTAACGAAGAATGCTACACCCTCACCTTCGTGGAAGCAAGCACGCGTTACGTCTGGGTGGCAAACTTGCAGAACGGCGGGGAGGGGCGGGGAGGGGCGGGGAGGGGCGGTGAGGGGCAGGGAGGAGCAGGAAGGGGCAGGGAGGGGCGGGGAGGGGCGGGGAGGGGCAAGGAGGGGCAGGGAGGGGCGGGGAGGGGCGGGGAGGGGCGGGGAGGGGCAGGGAGGGGCAGGGAGGGGCGGGGAGGGGCGGGGAGGGGCGGGGAGGGGCGGGGAGGGGCGGGGAGGGGCGGGGAGGGGCAGGGAGGGGTAGGGAGGGGCAGGGAGGGGCGGGGAGGGGCGGGGAGGGGCCGGGAGACTTCTGAGTCGACTCAGAAGTCACCTAAATCTGAATGATGTCCCCCACTATCTGCTCGAGAGGTGAGGGGCAGGAGCGATGGGGAGTGGCGGAGAAGGACAGCCTACCAAGTGATCTACATCTGGTTGGCGCACGCGCAGCGTGAGTCCGGGAAGAAACTCCAAAGCTGGCAAACTAACGGTGCAGCTGAGTTTTGCAGCCAGGAATTGGAAACTTTTCTTGCCAAAGAGGGAATCCTGCACCACAATTCACTCCCCTACGCACAGCTACAGCAAGATGTCCCTGAACATACCAACCGCACGCTCATGACGAAGGTGCGCGCAACCGCACGCTCATGGCGAAGTGCGCACACTGTTGAAGCAATCCGGACTTCCTGCTAAGTACTTGACCGACGCGATCCACCACGTCGTGGGACTGCACAACTTCCTCTCCTTCACGGCAAATACGGGGAACCTCTCACCTCATGTAAACTGGACCAGGAAGAAGGGCAATGCTTCAATGCTACGAGTATGGGGCTGCATGGTGCAGTACAAGCCCACGTCCACAACCATCGGCAAGTTCACCGATCGCCCGCACTGGGGAATCCATCTCGGCGTCAGCTACAAATATATAGGCTGGCTCATCCTGGACCTCCATACCAGCAAAATCGCAAGTACCGCGCCGACAAACAAGCGAGAGCTGGATGAGCCTACACCCACGGAGGCAGAAGCTTCGCCTCTCCAGAAGACGAAGCCGCAGCGGCATTTCTTGACCGTGACTCTGACGATGAACATCCTGGCATACCTACTCGCCCACACGATGACGACGACGATGATGACGACGATGAAAACAAGCATGGACCATCAAGGCGCTGAGACCGAACAAGGAGCCCCTCACCTGCACCTGAAAGCGACGACGATGACGTGCAAGAAGTGACTACTGAGCGGCATCATGGCACGAACGTCACGGGACTACAGCTGCTCGGCCTACACACCGCCACAACCAACGCCATACGCATCATCAAGCCTAAGAACCCAAGGTAGGCTCTGACTGGACCCCACGCCAATGAGTGGCGTGCAGCCATGGAGTCAGAACTAAAAGCGCTAGAATCGCGGTACAGCTGGATCCTTGTCGACCGCGCAGGAGTGAAAACCGCGTGAAGGGAGTTATCAGGAAATTGGGTCTTTCGCGTGAAAACCGCCGTCGACGGAACAATCGAGCGCTTCAAAGCCTGGTGGGCCGTACGCGGCTACGACCAGCGCCACGGAATCGACTTCGACTAGACCTTTGCTCCCGTAATTTGTCACACCTCTGTGGGATCATACTCACCATCGCTGCCGCAAGACACCTACCACTACTGCAGATCGACGTGAAGAATGTGTTCCTATACGTGCTGGTCGACGCAACAATCTTCATGGAGCAACCACACACCTACGGAGAAGGAGACCTGAGAGTCTCGCAGGTAAAGAAATCCCTTTACGGGATCAAGAAGGCACCACGACTATGGCAGCAGCACCTGCTCAATATCCTATTGGAGATAGGATTCAAGCAGCTGCCACATAACCCTGGGATGTACCGCCTTTACTTCTGCGTCGATTACATCCTCCTGATAGTGTACGATGAAGACCTGCCGTACACAGGGACGAGCTGTGAAATGTCGAGGAATGAGATTGACTAAGGGAAAGTTGGGTACAAGTACAAACCCTAGAAAACTGTACCCCATATGTGCTACCCCACTACAGCCTACAGCAGCTATGCCATATAAATCTGACACACCCCCATAGGCAAAGTGGGGGAGAACAATGGGTCACAAGACCAGTCAAGCAAAGCAAGGCAAGCTCAGGGTGGATCACAAAGTCACCACACATTCCGAGCACAAGTTCAAGGCCAGAAGGCCAGTTTACATGCAGGATTACATATATATATATATGGCTAGACAAGCAAGAGCAGGTGTATATATATATGAAACAGTACAAACAAGGTCAAGGGGTGAGCAAGTGAGGCAAGGCAGGCACAAGACCAAGCTGAGTACAGAAGCGCTGATGATCACAAGGCGCAAGTGCCTTGGTGAAGATATCAGCAGTGTTGGCCTGAGAGGCCACGTACGCAAGACGCAGCTGACCACGCTGCTGTAGCTCACGAGCAAGGAAGTAGCGAAGAGCAATGTGCTTCGTTCTGTGCTCCAGTCTCTGCTCCCGACACAAGGCCAGCATGGCCTTGTTGTCTACGTACAGCACTGGAGGAGAACGAGGCGGCTCTCCAAGGTCAGTCAGCAGGTAGGTGAGCCAGCGAAGCTCCTGTGCAGCCATGGCTCCTGCGTAGATCTCAGCCTCACAACTGGAGCCGAGAACAGAGGACGAGCGGGTAGCCCGCCACGAAACAGAGCCGGAACCAAGGCTGAAGGTGTAACCCTGTGACGACCGCTGCGTAGCCTGGTCGTCAGCCCAAGAAGCGTCTGCGTGCCCAGTGAGGACCACTGGACTCTGCCCTCCAAGCACAAGCCCCATGCCCGACGTACTGCACAAGTAGCGCAACACCCTCTTCGCTGCAGCCATGTGCTCCGGTCTGTGTCTCCCAGGAGCAACATAGCGTGCGAGAATGCTAAGAGGGTATGCAAGGTCAGGTCGTGTGCAGGTCATCAGGTACATGAGGCAGCCAACAAGCTCTGGGTACGGGCCACTCGACTCTACGGACTCATCCGAAGGCAGAGCTGAGAGCGAGTGGCGAGTAGGCAGAGGAGTGGCCTGAGGCGAGGAGTACGTGAAGCCGAAGCGCTGAAGGACCTGCTGCACCATGTGTGACTGAGTCAGGGTAATGGTGCGGCGTGCTCTGTCCCGGGTGATCTGCAAGCCAAGGTAGCTGCGCAGTTCACCCAGGTCTGTGCACGTGTGTCTCTTCTGCAGCTCGGACTTCACGTGGGCGAGTCCAGCAGTGTCAGCTGTGGCAAAGACCAAGTCGTCGACGTACACGAGGATGTAGAACGGCGGCAAAGAAGTGTCGGTGCGCAGAAACAGCGACAGGTCGGCAGTAGAGGGAGCAAACCCAAGAGCCGCAAGTGTAGTCCTCAGTGTGTCGTGCCACTCACGTGGTGCCTGGCGGAGACCGTAGACTGGCCGCCGGAGGCTCCACTGGGTGCCAGGAGGAAAAGACCCAGTGAAGCCAGGTGGGCGACGCAGCCAGATCTCCTCGTGCAGGCTGCCCTGCAAGAAAGCAGTGCTGAAGTCAAGAGAGTGCAGCTCGTAGTCACGATGAGCAGCTATGTGCAGCAGTACCCGAAGAGTGGTCATCTTCGGGGTGGGAGAGAAGGTCTGAAAGTAGTCAACTCCCTGCCGCTGACTGAAGCTACGAGCCACGTAACGCGCCTTGAAGACAGGCGGAGAACCCGGCGGCCGCTTCACCCTGAAAATCCACATGCCACTGACGATGTTCGCCCCATGTGGGGGAACCTCGTCAACGTAGGTGCCTGTGGACTTCCAGGAAGCCATCTCTGCGTCCATGGCTGCCTGCCACTGAGAGGAGTAGGGACCCTCTATCGCCTCCGCGTAGGAGCGCGGAGTCGGGATGTCAAGTGCATCCGGGTCTCCCTCGGGGGTAAGCAGTACAGACACGAGATGAGGTGAAACAGCAGCCAAACACTGGAACTCCTCCTGCCTGTCCTCAAGGACGTCCGTGCCAAGGGCACACTCACCCCCGACGGACGGAGGACAGGCAGACTCAGACTCAGCAACAAGACTAGCAGCGTAGTCTAGACGACAGCGAGCAGCAAAGTCGACGAGCTCAGTAACTAGGGCAGACGCAGCAGCGGACTCAAAGGAAGGGTCAGTGACAACAGTAGCAAGGAGACGCGTGACAGTAGGACTGGCAGCACGAAGAGAGTCCGACTCCGGGTCGGGAAGAGCAGGAAGAGAGGACTCAGGAGGAGAAGGCAAAGGGGCACGCAGAGGAGCAGTGGACGGACGCAGAGACATCCGGTGCGTGCCAGGGACAGGAGGAGGACGCTGACGCGAACCACGACCACTAGTGCGAGCAGCACGGACAGGCGACGCAGGGCGAGACGCAGGCTCACGACGCTCAGCAAGGCCTCCAGTAGGACCAGTGTAGGGAGAAGGAGCAGGCAGTGGGGAGGCCGGCTGTAACTGTAACTGTGACGGGACAGGCTGTGGACACTCTAAGGGAGGAGGAGGAACAGGAGAAGGCGGGAGACCAAGAACCTGCTCAAGGAGCGGAACGAAGTACGGTCGAGGCCGCGCAGCGACTCCAGACACAGCAGGGACAGCACCAGTACCCCAAGTGGTAGCACCAGCGCCAGCAGCACCTCCAGCTCCAGTACCTCCAGCAGCACCAGTAGCACCCCCAGCAGGACCGCCTCCAGGACCGACAGCAGTAGCCTCAGCGTCAACACCCTCAGTAGCTCCAGCTCCAGTCGGACCACGAGAAGACGCAGTAGCACCTGCTCCAGTAGTACCCGCAGGCCCAGCAGCTCCAGTACTCCCAGTACGAGCACCTCCGGGACTCGCGGCACCAGCACCCTCAGCAGCCGAAGAACCTCCAGCTCCAGCAGCACGCCTCCACCGCCGGGCAAACCACTCGCGCAGCTCCGGTGGAGAGAGAGGCTCCCGCCGAGACAAAGCACCCGGAGAACCTCCAGGCACAGTACCGCCAGACGCCACGCGAGCGGGCCCAGCTCCCTCAGGCTAAGCACCCCCAGGCTCAGCAACTCCAGGCGTAGCACCCCCAGGCTCAGCACCCCCAGGCGTAGCACCCCCAGGCTCAGCACCCTCAGTCGTAGCACCCCCAGGCTCAGCACCCCCAGTCGTAGCACCCCCAGTCGTAGCACCCCCAGGCGTAGCACCCACACGCTCAGCACCCCCAGAGTCAGCACTCCCAGGCTCAGCACCCTCAGCAGCACCAGGGTCACCAGCAACCTCGACAGGCTCGACTGCGTCTACCTGGGACACACCTGAAGGGGCAGGACC